ACTCCAATGCCAATTTTTAATCCTGGTGAAGCTTTTCTGACATTTGTTGCTAATTTAGAACGAAAAATTAGTAAGTAAAATTAATTTCTTAAATTATTTCAAAATTTATATCAATATTTTGTTTTTCAATAGCAATACTCCAAACCCAATTGAATATTACTCGTACAGTAAGTGGTATTACTTTACCTGTTAGATGTTATAAAGTCAATGGTGTTGAAGTTGGCTCATGTCTTTATCCGGATTTATGTAAAATTTTGGCAGCATTGTTGCCAACATTCAATGCTAAAGATTGTCCACCAAAATTTTTACCCTATGGTATCGATTGTACATGCCCGTTTAATATACCAGCACAACTTTTAACTATTGTAGCTGAAAAATTAACATTACCAGATGCACAAGCAACAGTGGCAAATTTCATGGCTACTGGTGATTTTGTAATTAGACTTGATACATCGGACACTATCGGAAAATTTGGATGTGTTGTTATTAAATTTACAGTCAAATCACAGAAACCAGGAAAATAAATTAATACTGACATCATACTCTTTTTAATATGTTATACCTGATTTTTATCGTTGTTGTTTTAAACGTTTGTTAAATGTACAATAAAATCGTTAGAAAAAATTGCACAATATTGTCAGCTAATCGGGTAATGTTCAAAAACTTCAGAAATCACTTGTTTGATAGTAAGACATACTAACATTGTATGTATCATAAAATATATTTTGGCTTGTAGGCAATCCAATAGTTTCAAGCTTAAATTGATCGTTTCAGTTACAATAAAGACATTTTTTGCTCATATCCAACTGTCTTTGAATTCTTTAGATAATTATGTATGAGAAAAGGGGCTTATTTTAACGCTTGTTTTTAATACTAGTCGCCTAACTTCTATATCGTTTATTTAAGAAAAAGCAGAAATTTAGGGTTTTGGTAAATCATTTCATTAAATGTTAAAGATTAAATTAGGAATATTTCAGATTCAATGTATTCGAACAATTTTAACCTTTAACCGGCATTATAAAATTTTCGTATAAAACAAATTGTATTCTTTTCATATTTTTTTCTTCAATATTGTTATCTGTTTAGCCTTGTAAAACCAATGTGTATATCAACTACAGTGTCTTATCACACACTTCTCTGTGTCTAGTCTAAAAGCCATACTATGAGTGTATCCTTGTAATTACATACTGTGTGAAAATGGAAATAAAACGATTAGTAAAGTGATTTGGATAAAATTGATAATTTTTACTACAACTAACTGCCACCTGTTTTAACAAGGCCACATCTTTCATTTAATTTTTTTTTCATACAAAAGAAATGTTAAGGGAGAATATAAAAATCAACTATAACCGTTTGTCATAATAATAATCATTTTTATGGATTTTATAGACTAAAAAGATAAGGTTTCATTTTGACATCTCTCAGACATAGAAGTTGATGGGTAATAATCTAATTTATGTTCTAAGGAGGTGTGTGGAATCAATTGACAGTCAATAAAAATTGTGAGAGAAGCACACATAATATGTATTTATATATATATATATTTGTTCAAGAATATAGCATCTTATGAACAGAACAAAAAGAGAAAGAAAGAAAGAAAAATGATTTGTGTGAACATATATGTTAACTTGATCATTTATTTATTGATGTACAACATACACACACGTCATAAAATTGAAACTTTTCTTCGTCTTTTCCCTCCTTTCATTATATGTTAAATCAATCTCCATCAAGATCAAAAATAATCAATGGAGGTTGTCAATCAATCAGTGTTTGTCCATGAACTGAACACTATGGGTACATTACATGGCGAATACAAGGCGACTATGTTTACTCTCTGTATGAAATTTGATTTTGATATAAAATACTCCAAACTTAATGCTAGTCAATTTTTGTTGAAAGTCTGTTTTGCTCAATAATCCAATATATATTGTAGTCATCAGGATATTGTCCTTGATCAACTTAGTTATTGACGATGATGATATCGACGAAGATATAATTTTCAAAATTAAGAACAAATTCTTTGTAACGTTAAAATTGGGAACTTAAACAACAAAAGCAGTTTTTTTACACATTTTTAAATATTTATTTGCACTTGTTAATCCAGTAAAGGTTATCTAGTAAAAATAAATTTCGAAATATAATTAAATTTCTGAATATACTACGTATAGGTTGAAGATTGAGACCGTTAGACAATAATTATAATAGATTTCAATAAAAAATTCGTAAACATATGCCTTTAGCATTTTTTAATTTCCGATAAATAATTTTGAACTTTTTTTTTCTTTTTGAACAAATAATCATTTCTAATCTAATAAAACGACTTTTTATATGTACCGCTTGTGATATGAGCGCGTATTGTGTTTGTCTTTTCAGTTATGTCTATTTACTGTTTAGTATACATTACTCGCATATTTTTTATCAATATTCAATTTTCTTCATTTTAAAGCAGAAATCATAAACAGAAAATGTTATTATTCTATCTCTATGTGTATCTATCACAATAATCGAATACTAGTTCATCTTCTTCTACTTCTGTATACATATATAACAGCAGCAAAAGAGAGATTTTCGTTTTTTCTTCTTCTTTTTATACATTTTTCCATTGCCTCATAGTAAAGAACGACGAATATTTTCGTTTTCTTTGTCTATGATACTATCACCACTACTATCATACTTGTCTGTTAATTGATTGTCTCGCAGTTTACTATTTCAAAGTTAATTTTATATACGCTTCAATTCATTTTATAATCTCTCTTGTTCGTTCCGTTATATTAATTTTTATGACGATGTCTGATATAGACATTTCAAAGAATAAACAGTAACAAGACAGAATAGAGAAAGAATACGTATGGACAAAATGTAAGTTCATTTTAGCTTTATACATCAAAAACTTATAGTTGAACTATATTTGGCTTTAAAATTATATGAATATTTGAGTGATAATCCTATTTTTTCTGTACTAGCAAAAACATGGTTTTCTAACTCTAAAAGAAGATTTACAATAATCATTTTTATACGGCTTTACACAATGACCATAAAGTTTTGGACGATATTTTCATTGATTCGGATTTTATTTTTTGCAGCATCAGTTTATCAAAAACTGTTGTTGTTATTGTACAGCAAAGTCTTGCAAGTTCCTACATTCGAATTTTTTCATACTACAGGTACTAGACGCATCAGTTTGAGGGATTTTTTCAAGAAAAATGCCAGGAAGATATAACTTTTCAGAAAAAAGATCAGAAGTGAGAAGAAATATTGTTTTGCTATTTGTGTATTAATACGATACTTAACTCGTTATGGTAACGTCATTTTCGTTCTGGTTGGTAGATCGATGATTGATATCCAATTGTAATACGAAATTAGCATCTTAGAAAAAGAATTGATTTCACAACTAATGGATTTATTGCTCATGTTAGTGATGATCATCAAACGTGTTGAAAAGACCTTCAAGTAGCGGACCGTCGCTCTTGTCGAATTGGATTGTGCCGTAATTACGCCTGACTTACATTCAGTTCGGAGTTTTTTCGAAGGAGAAGGGAGCGTTTATGATGACTTCGGAACTAATTTTTGTTAAGCTTTATTTCAGATTAATATATTTTTGATAATTTTGAAGTATATTCATTTTCTGTTAAAGTGTATGATCGTGTTCGAAAATTTCATTCTAGAATGGATCGGTTTTTTTATTCTTTTTGAGCCGTGGAAATCAGTGAAAAACTGAAAGTTCTCAGAAATGAATTTGAACCGACGGTCTTGATTATACAAAGGAGAGAACTTAAGGTTTGTTATGCCACTATTGTGCCAAAATATTTAATAATTTTGAAATTACAACATAATTTAAGCGCTATCGAAAACATCGGTTATTAATTAATTTAAAAGAGAAAATGCGCCCTACTAAACTTGTTATGCCCAAGATCTTGAAAAACACACCAAGGAGTCAAGATCTTGGGAACAGAAATTTCAAGATTTTGAGTGAATTTGAGTCACAATGTTTCGCAGTATTGTGATACAAACTTTTTAGATTTTCTTTCTTATATGACAGCCGTAACCATTAGACAGACAATTATCCGCGATTATAGGCAAGATCTTGATTTTTTATAAGAAATTTTATCAGGGTTAAGTTTGCAGAAATAGTGAATGAAAAATTTAAGTTTATTCTATTTATCATTTCTAGTGATATTGTTGGCATATCAATTCTTGTACTGATAACATGATTACTAACAGTGTCAAAGTACTATGGTGAGAGATCATACACCGCTATATCTGTTAGCGATCATCATTTTTAAGTATATACTCAACCATTAGAAATCATCTTTTCATCTTCAAGAATGTGTAATTTTTCTTCGACGATGTACCCAAAAGAAATAGTTAAATATCTTCCATATGTGTATGAATATGTGAGACTATACATACATGTTAGCTAGTTATAAAACAGAAAGAACATTGAACAATTTCTTTTTCATTTGAACACGTGTGTAAATCAAATATACCGTATAAGTCTCATGCTGTGATTCTTATATAAGATAACAATAATAATAATAATTAATTATTATTTCGATGATCATAATTAGGTTCGTATACACAAGAATCTATCGATAAAGATTGAACATTTGAAAAAGTGAACAGATGGATAAGGAAGGAATGAACTGTTATATTAATAAGAAAAAGATTGTCGTGTAAGATATTCATTAATCGTCATCTAAACGCTACGAAAACAGAGTATCAATCTTAACGTTTTATTGTATACTTTCAGTATTTGATGTGACTAGGAAAACTTTCATAATCTACTGTTCTGACAACTTTAACATAAGAAAACAACAGAATGAATGACATGGGGGTGTAGCTCATATGGTAGAGCGTGCGCTTTGCATGCGCAAGGCACGGGGATCGATGCCCCGCACCTCCAGTCTTTTTTTTTTCTCTATATAAATCATGAATGCAATCATGTACATGAATAGTTGATAAATGTTATTCGGATTGGGATATAGTTGGTGAGTTTTTGATTTCAAGGCTACTCAAATACTAGATACTCGAATCTTTTTTATTTTGAATAATAATCAATCAGTCAATATTGTAAAGAAGTTAATACATTGACACTTGAAATGCATAATTTTGTATATAATGTTAATTATGCAATCTACACATAATTGTTAAATGTATATGTGTGTTTGAAAGTAAGCGCAAAATCAATCTGAATTAAAAGTTCAAGGTATCTAATGGTATCAGTTTCATATAGAATAAAAGGGTTGTGAACAGTAGTAGCAACTGAATCTTCGACTTCTTTTTTTTTATGTAAAACGACAATTTGATATGATATCGTTCAATAAAATGAAGGTGACACATATCTTCTAATAACCTTCAGTTCTTTCATTTTCACATTTTGTTCAACACTTGTTATTGACAAGATATTCCACATGTAATTTTGTGATGTGAAAGAGAGATGAGATATATAAATTTGTTATTCATAATACGTATAACTATTTTCCGTATACTTTTCTTAAAAATCAATTGGAGTCCCGAGGGT